TTTGCAGCTTAACTCTTAAGCATTTCCAAGTTGCTTCCTTAAGATTTAGAACAAATGAATGAGCTGGAAGGGACCTTGGAGGTCTTCTAGTCCAGCCCCCTGAACAGGAGAACCTATACTATTTTAGATGGTATAGATTCGACCATGGATGTCAAACTCGCCACATCACATTGATGTTACATGACATATCGCAACTTTTTTTTTTTGCCTTCACGGAGCTGGGGTGGGTTTTGACACCCCTGGTCTAGACTCTTCTTAAAAACATCCAGTGATGAAGTGCCCATGATTTCTGGAGGCAAGCTGTTCCACTGGTTAATTGTCCTCACTATTAGGAAGTTTCTCCTTACTTCCAGGTTGCTTCTCTCCTTGATTAGTTTCCATCCATGGTTTCTTGTCTTGCCCTCCGGTGCTTTGGAGAATAATTTGACCTCCTCTTCTTTGTGGCAGTCCGTCAAGTACTGGAATATTGCTATCATATCCCCCTAGTCCTTCTTTTCTTTAGACCAGCCAAACCCAAATTCTGCAGCCCTTCATATGTTTTAGTCTCCAGGCCTTTGATCATCTTAGTTGCTCTTTTCTGAACTTATTCCAGTCTCAACATCTTTTCTGTAGTATGGTGACCAAAATTGGTTGCAGTATTCCAAGTGTGGTCTTACTAGGGTTTTATAAAACTTTGAACATTGTCCCACTGACTGAACATGTGCAAACTATTTCCTCTTCCATTGCGGCAAATCATCGTGCATACTTAAGGAGTTGTGGGAAGGGGAAAGCAATCCAATAATTTAAAATGGTTGCACCAAGTAGACTCCCAACTATCCCACTGTTTAGCAGATAAAGCTTCCCATCACTCTTGTCTCCATGTTAGAAGGAAATGAAAAAAGAGACATGCTTGGTGAGGGGTGTGTGTGTTGAAACAGTCAAGATAGCAACTACACAATTGAAGCCACCACCCCCTTTTTAATGTGTGACCTTACATGGCCTAAAAAAAGGGACAGGACCTTAATTATTGGCTTGTGGCTGCCACCTTGAGGGTTTTATTTTATCACCCTTCTGCTCCATGGACAGCCTTGATATATTAAGATTCCTATGCCAGACGGATGTTAAAAGTTTGTTCGTTATTTCCTGCCATTATTATTTTTACAAATAATTCAAGGTGGCAAATATATCCTTTTTCCTCCTCCTATTTTCCCCACAACAACAACCCTGTGGGGTGAGATGAGTTGAGAGAGACTAACTGGCTCAAATTCACCCAGTTGGCTTTCGTGGCTAAGGTGGGACTGGAATTTATGGTCTTCTGGTTTCTAGCCTGATGCCTTCATGCACAGGTGTCAAACTCACGGGGTCACATTGCCATCACATGATGTTTTGCAACATTTTTTTTCCTTTGCAAAGCTGGGGTGGGTGTGAGGGAAGAATGATTATCATTCTTCAGACATCTCTAGAAGATGCTTCTAAACGGATGGATATGGATATGGTTTTTCGACATGCATGTATGTAACTGCAAGCACCCTGCATTGTACAGCCTTTCATTTCACAAATGGTGTATGTAGATTTCATTCTGTTGTTAACTAAGCAGGAGGACAATCAGCATTCAAAATTACGCAGGAGCTGTTGCTGCAAAACCAAGTCACACATCTGGCGCAAAAGAATCTTCTGCCAGCTTATTGTGGGGAAAACGTGAACACTCTGCCTTCTTAAGATGAAACTTGCTGTTATGGGCATATCATTGTTTTTCATCTGGGAGATTTGGGGTGAAATGCCAACTCCCTCTAGTTTTATACTAATGCAGTCAGAGTGTTGTTGGGTCGTTGTGATTTAGAGGCTGAATGTCCAGATCTCCCATTTAATGTTTTAGTCTTTGGAGGTCCAGAAACTGCAATGCAAAAAGCAGCAAATCTATTGCTCACAGCTAGAATTTTTAGATGATGTCATCCAAAGCTTCTATAAAAGGCCAAACATCAGTAAGTGAACATTTCAGTTCTCTGGCAATGACCTCAAACTGGTCTGTAAAAAGGAATAAAGGAACTGCAGACAAAGACTGATTTCATCATGAAACAGGTGAGTTGGAACCTACAATTGCATAGGATAGGTTAGACAAAGCTTAAGTATTTTTAATGTTACGATCGATAGTGTCCTGGCCTGGTTTTCATGATAAATCCTTCAAGATAGTGTTGTAGTCCAGTTCAAGTTCAGAATGCAAAACCATTCTGCTGGAGGATCAGCATGTGAATGAGCAAGGAAATCACAAGTTGAGCTGAAGTCAAATGGACGGGATATTTTTACAGCAAGGATGACCTTCACAGATCAGTTTTGTTCCAGTTGCTTTGTCATACCCAGGTTAATGGCAGGGTAGAACAGGGTAGAAAAGACTCTCTGCATGATCTAGTTCTTGGTCCAAGCAAAGGCAGTGGGATCTTTTGTTGGCTTTAGCATAATTGCTAAAGCTTGCAAGTATGGTATCTGGCTGTTGAGATGTCTTCTCCTGATGGTCTTCTTCATCTAAGAATGACTCTTAAGACAGAACCATGAGAGATTAATAGACAAGTGAAGTAAGTTGGATTGAGAAAAAGAGGGAGGGTAGGCCCAACTCATCCTGTGAATTCTATGTCCACTGGAGAAATGAATCTGAATTTCACCAGTCCAACTCCAATAAGTTAATCACAACACTACATATGCTGTGTTTAGTGCTGTTAATGCTGTTACTACTGTTAATTCATTCAACAATGCCTAATTGATTCATCAATTAGTATGACATCTAGGAACTGTTTTGTTAATCACCACAATTTAAAGGAAGTAGTTTTTACTATGAGCACCTCCAGTATACCACCTCCTTTAGATGTTCAGCCTTGTCTTTCAACAGCCAAATCAGGATAAATTCAATCTGGATAAATAGCCATAACAGATTGATCAATACATTGCTGAATTATATTATGAGCATCATATAGGACACAATAAGATCTACCCCCAGTTTCTGGTTACCAGTTTTGAGCCATATTCCTCCACCAGACCTCTGAAGAGAAAACACTATATTGCAAGAATATAAGAAAAATAATTAGTAATATTCACCTGCCAATCAATGCAGATATCACTGATGTTATAACCAACAGGGTATTCTCCAGACCTGTTAGGACTGTCAGAAACTGTCAGATAACAACTTCAATCTGCTTCAGGCCTGGATGCAAAAAAACGACCCTTTATTGCTTCTCCAGTGTATTACAACATTCCCTGCTTTACAGCTGGACCAAAAAGATTCAATCTACCTCATAAGATCTGGGCAATCCTCAATAGGATTAGGACTCAACATGGCAGGTGCACCAGCCTCTTCCATAAGTGGGGAAAGCTCTCTTCTTCAGAATAGTAGTTGCGGTGTGGAGTAGTGCCCTCCAAACACATATCGGGGAAACCCCAGAGACTTTCTGTATGCAAAGTCCATCACGTATTGACTGTATAAACAGTCTACCTTTGAATTTGTAAATAGAGCAAATAGCTCCATGTTTGCTCATTGAGAATGTAATTGTGATATGCTTTTTAACATTTTGCTATATGCTACGTATAGTAAATAGTCACCTCCTTCAGACTGCTTCTTGCTCTAAAACAGGGGTTTTAAACATTTTTTGTGCCCTGGATGCAGAGGTGGTATTCAGCAGGTTCTGACCAGTTCTGGAGAACCGGTAGCGGAAATTTTGAGTAGTTTGGAGAACCAGCAAATACCACCTCTGACTGGCCCCGCCCCCATCTCTTCTCTGCCTCCCAAGTCCCAACTGATTGGCTGGGTCTTCTTTAGTTGCCCTGCACAGGAGAATGGAGCTGGAAAGCAGGTTAGTGGGATGGGGAGGGAATGGGGATTTTGTAGTAACCTTCCCCTGCCACGCCCACCAAGCCACACACATAGAATTGGTAGTAAAAAAAATTGAATCCCATCACTGCCTGGATGCCCCTGAACGTTTGGGGAAACCTCAGAAAAAAATGAATTTAAATGGGTAATATGCCATCCAAAAATGCATAGATATGGGTTGTATTAGAAAGGAAGCCATACTGTTCAAATATGGTTAACAAACATTTAAAAAAAAACAAATGTAATATGTGTGCTTTTTTTACTCATCCCTTAAATCAATAACAAGATAATACATATTGTTTTAAGGGCATAAGAATTTTAGACAGTGAGATTAAAATAGCATACATTTTTGGAGTCTGCAGACCATAAATCACTTTGCCAACATACATTATTGTATTAAAAGCTAAAATTCAGTTAGAGGTTAAGGAAAATAAATTGTAATATTTTTCAAATCTGTGTTCACAGATCCCCTAACACGATTCACAGACATCCCCCCAAGGGATCCATAGACCCCCAGTTAAAGACTTTGATTTTAATTTGTCCCCTTTCCAATGGTATGAACTCAGCTTAAGCAAAACATACTATTTGGAGAATAGAACTTCCCTTTGATCCTGCTGCTCTAGGGTGGTCTGGCATTTTTCCAGGAGTTATTCTTCTGAACTGAAAACAGTTTGTGGTATACAGGGAGTGTGGTGCCCATTCTGAAACAGGCGTGTCTCATCTGGAGTACCATCTTGAACACCACAATTTTCTGATTTGTTGAACTAACTTACAAAATCACTGGACCCTTGACAGAATAGTATAGTCCAGAAAAGGAACAGAAGTATAACATTTGTACACCCACATTTCTGCATAATACTAGCAATTGTGTTCCCATAACCTCTGACTGTGATTTGGAGGTGCAACTGGGTGCAGCTGTGGGTTACAGGTGCAACTGGATGAAGCAGAGCATCATAGGGCAACGGGTTTGAACCAAGGTGCTCAAATGGGCTGCCTTGCAAAATGCATCCAAAATCTGGGACCATAATTCTTGTAGAACTGAAATTTGGCAAATTTCATAAAACATTTTATGACATGAAAATTATCATAAAACAGTTTATGACATAATGCAGAATGCCACAAAACATTTCCTTTGCTGATGTTTCACTGTGCTATACAATTCAACATGGTGTATTTTCAAGGAGATATGCCTCTGAAGGTATTACAACTTTTCAAGTGCTTTGGAAACTCTGCCGTTGTTGAAGCATTGAGGAATAGGTGATATATATGTGAGTCCTTAAGGTGCTTTACTTCTGCCTGGGATATGCTGTAGTTAAGACACATAACCTGAAATGTTCACGAATTTCCCCCAAGTGACTTTCATTCTCAAGGGCTGGGTACACACAACAAACATTAAACTTGGGTTATTAAAATATAATTGCTATGCTCTACCGGTATGCCAAAACCATATATGTTTGTGGTATGGCTTGGTCCAGACCACACATATGATGATGGCTTGGTCCAGACCACATACCAAGATAATGATTGTATTCATATATGAATATATGGAGTTCCATTTCAAATCTAGTGGCTGAATTCACAGGGCATGTTTTAGGAGATAGCAACTTTCCAGTTTATTGATCAATCACTACTGGCTCTTTGTATATCATGTGGTGTCTTGCTTTACGTGAGTAACAAATGGTTAGATTTGCACATTGTAATACATGATCAGTTACTGTTTATTAGCCATGATAAATAACACACTAAGCTAAAACAAAACCCCATTATGAATCAAATATATATCAAAAATATACAAAATGAATAAAATAAATAAAAATAAGATAAAATATATATCAAATCGGTATCAAATTTGGACCGTTGTAGTTGAACCAAATCAGAGGACACCAGTATTTTTTTCTTTCCTAGCATTTTCTCATAAGTGCAGGGTTCACTTTTAAAAAGAGTTTTTTTAATCAATTGAATGTGGATCCATTGGTTGCAACAGGAATTGATTAAAGGGCTTTTCATCCAAATCTGACATCATCATGGGTGAGACAGAGTGACTGGCCCAAAGTCACCCAGCCAGCTTTCATATCTAAGGCATGACTAGAACTCAATCTCCTAATTTCTAGCCTGGTGCCTTAACCATTTAACCAAACCTGACAACAAGATTGGGAAAGGTGAATGCTAAGCAGTGACCTGAATGATCAGTTTAGGAAGAGGCTGTTCATAGGAGAAATCCCAAGGTTCAAATCCTTAAACCTCCAATAAAAAGAAAACAAACAAAACACAACTATAGGATGGGGAGATACCTTCTTGAAAGCTGCCAACAGAGTCAACAATATTGTCCATAATGGATTTGCAGTGTATTTCAATTTTATTTATTAGATATATACCCTGAAGTTCATATTGATCAAGGCAAAGTACATAATCCTCTATTATTTTTCTCACAACAACAGAGACTGGCCTTAAGAACCTTAAGATATGGCAGCTTATTTTGGTTGTAGGATGAAAAGTGTCCTTTTGTACTTTGTGGTTAGTGTGTGAGTGTGCATGTGATATTTTGGTAACATCCCTTTGTCAAGGGCAGCCAATTGCCTGAGCTAGTGTTCAGAGTCCTGAAAACACATGCCTTATAATCAGCTGGTTACACTTGGGTCAAATAATTATTATCTGTTAAATTTGTTTTGCCTCCCTTCTAGCCACAAGGCAATTCTGGATAGCTCATGTTTTTGCCCATTCTAGCCTGCTTTCTCCAATGAATTAGACTGCGGCTGGACTCAGACGCGGTAGAAAGCTAAGATTTTGTTAATCACGATTCTTGAGTAACCCCCCGTTGACTAGGTTCACGCTTCCTTCAAACGCAAAGCTCAAAGCCAACTACATCGGAGGCTACCTTGTGGTGCAAAAGCACCGCTTCGCTTCGCCCTTTAGGCAAGACCAAAGACAGACCGGTTTAACAACAAGGGATCAGAGCCCAGCCAAGGGACTGTGGCCTGGGTTGCAAAGGGCTCTTGGCGACCCTGAGATTGGAGAAGAACACTTTGGGTCGCAGCCTCCCCGCTTCGTCCCCGCCACCAGATTCCTTCCTCGCCCGGCGGCGGCGCTTTGCTGCAGTCCCGGAACCTCGAATCAATAACCAGCCCGCGCGCCACCCCACCCCCCCCACTCTTGCCACCATTTCCATGGAAACCGCCTGAGCCACTTCTTATTGGAGGGCTCGCAAGAACCCGGGCCGGGCCCTCCTGCCTCGGCGGCGGCTTCTCGTTTCCAAGCCTGAGGAAATTCGCTCCAGCCGGTTGGGAAGCCAAGGCGACCGGTTGGCTCCGAAGCCGGTCCCCGGGGGGGTCGGGGGGGCGACTGAGCATGAGGCAGCCGTCCGGCCTGACGAAACCTCCGTAGTCCCACAGCACACGGGAGAACGAGGAGACGGCGGCGGCGGCGGCGGCGGCGGCCCGGAGCTCAAGGAGCGAGCGCCGTGGATGCGCGGAGCGAGCAGCCGAAAGAACCCGCCGAGAAGTGCCGTCCAAAGGCACCGAAGAGCCGCCTGCCAAGCGAGGGCATGTAAACGGGCTGGAGACCTGGACCTTTTGTATGGCGGACCGCGAGGGACGCCGCCGCCGGCTCCTCCTCCTCCTGCTGCCAAACCACTGACAGCTCAGCAGGCGGAGGGCGCGCGAGCCGAGGAGCCGCCGCCGCTGCCGCCAGGTCCTTCCAGTCAGGCGGGGAAGCAGCTGCAGCTCCGCTCTTTCCCTCAAACGCTGCTTTTTGGCTGGCGCTGGGATGCCAGCGCGGGTCCCCGAGTCCCGTGGCAGCGACAGCCCGCGCTCCCCCAACCCCGCCGGTCTCGCTGCGGTAACCGCTCCCGCTGCCCCCTCTTCTTCTTCCTCCTCCTCCTCCAAGCCGAGTCCGAAGGGAACGTCGCCCCCGCTGCTCCGCGCCGAGAGATGAAGAGGCAAGGCTGGGGGAAGCCCAATGCGGAGCTCCTCCAGGATAGATTCTCCTCCAGCAAGACCGGCGACGGCGCAGCCGAGCGCGGAGGGCACATCTTGGTAGGAGCGATGCCGGAAAGTGCCGGGAGCCCTGGCGGAGCCGAAGGGACCCAGACAGCCCTGGAGTTGGAAGTCCCGTCTCGGGGAAGCTCTCCGTGCTCGGAGCAAATGCCCGGGAGCACTGAAGGGTATCCCGCCGAAGGATTAGAAGGCTGTCCCGGGGAGGCACCGGTGCAGGTAAGGAGGTGGGTCGACTCGTCTAGTATTGGGCTCCGTACGGGAAAGGGACGGTTGTGTGAGATTCCCTGAGGAAGATCTTCCATGTTCAGAGACAGTCTATCCCTTAAAGTGTAGGAGGATGCCAGACTCGTGACATTTCCGAAACGCTGGGTTGTCTTCAGATAGGAACCGGTAGGTTTGTTTCTGCCCGAGGAGTTTTCCTGCCTTGCTGCCTATCTGTGCAATATAGTCCAGCTCCAGATAGGTGAAATATCTTACAACATTAAAGGCTGGTGGTGGCAGGTTATTTCGAACATCTTTTGAGACGTGTGAGATGCAAAAGTTCATTATTTTGTAGAGCACAGAGCATTAGTTCACTGAGTGCCTCTCTATCGCTCAAGATAATTTATTTTAATTGCAAGTGCCGAAGCCAAAAATAGGACCTGGAAGCCGCTGGATCTTAACTAGGAGTAGGAGGCAAAGGATTGCTGTTGGTTGCTGCTGGAAACAGAATACTGAGGATGGAGTAGATAGACCCTTTCGTCTCGTCCTGTGTAAGCTCCTCCTAGGTTGCTCTTACTTTACTCTGGATTTTCTGCCCTTGGTAACCAATGCAAAATTGTAACCATCTTCTTTTTCATGGGAAGTGGGGTGTCTTCTCGTTTTGAATCAATGACAAGGAAGGAGATGGCAAACCTTATAGGCAGACATCAAGGAGGAACCATATTTCCCACATGGCATACCAGCTGCAGCACCCTTGCCATTAAAAAAAACCCATTGGAAGGACCTCCGAAAGCTAGAAGAAGCCCCTTTATTTTCTGGAGAAGCTAAAGCATGGCAAAGATGCAACTATTATGGCTACATGCCGCTGACCTGTTCTAAAGCAATGTACTTAATGGATGGGAAGCAGCAGTAGGAAGGAATAGGAAGGAGAATCTGCCTTGATGCTGAACCTCCTTGCAAGCATCCAGAGGCTACATTTGGTTGGGTTTACTAATTTATTTATTAATATTTATAGCTAACACATTGTCCTTAGGATGGGGTAGGATGCAATCCATAAAATAAGTGGGGTAAAACAGCAATTACCTTACTAACATAACCAAGAGACACAGATGTTGACAAGAATCAACAGGGCATTACCAGACCGAGGTTAAGTTCCAAATGACAGAGTGAAAAGTCTTTACTTGTCATAGAAATGTAAGCAAAGTGGCTATCAGTCTGGTCTCCAAGAAGGGACATTTGTTCTGGGGTTGCACAACAGAAGAGGTCCTTTTCTCTGCCCTACATCATGCACTTTTCCTAACCTTGGGGTGCCAAGAAGGAACCACCCTGTAGGTCTTAATTTTCAGGCTTGCATATACTGGGACAAATTCTCCCTCTTAATAGAGGGTTCCTAAGCTGTTTAGGGTTTTAAATGTCATTAGGAAAATGTTGAACATATGACCCGTAGCATGTGAGTAGTCAGGGCAGTTTACTTTGAACTGCTAGTATTATTCAACATGCTAAACCCAAAAGCCAGGTTAACAAAATGCAAATTCTCTGCATTTTCTCTGCTATGCTCAAATTGCATTATGATTTAATATAATGAATTGAATTCATTCAGTGTGCTGAACCCCAATCTATAAGCCTCCCCCTTATTTTGGTCTAATTTGTGCAGACTCAGCTGGATCAGATGAAGAAAGAAACCTTTTGATCTGATGCAGCCAAGTTCCTCTTACATTCTTCTGCCCTAATCATATTTTGCATTTATGTGCTTTTATGTACTCCACCAGCAGACTAGCCGGAAACACCTATGAACGATCCATTTTAAGTGAATGAGATCAGTAAAATGGACAGGGGCGTTTCCATCTACTGCTATCTTCTACTTGCTGAAATGAAGGTGTGGGAGAGTGCCTCAACCCAACCCACCTCACAGGACTGTTGTTCTGGAGAAAAATAGACAGAAAATATGCTATGTATTCCGCTGTGGCTCCTTTAAGAAAGGAAGGATATAAATGCAATACTTCATTTCACATGTAGTGTTTGAATACATGTGTGTATTTTAAGGACTAATAAATTTTGTAAGATATATATGCAAATCTACCTTCAAAATGTTCTTTTTATTATCTCAGTTGTTTCAAAGTAGTAAGCTGTTGTTACCATTACAGAAGGTATGTAGAACATCAAAGCTTGGTGAAGAATGGCTAGGTGAAATCAGGGCTTCTCCTTAGTCATTATATTATCCCACTTATTGGCAAGAGTGGGTGGGGGGTGGGAGCTATGTTTGCTTTAAGAGAGAAGGAAGGATGAATTTCAGAGTCCTAAATCAGACTTACTGCTTGTCCCTCTTCTGAATCAGAAACCACAAAACAAAACTCAACAGACCCAATGGATCTAAAACAAATTGCACACATCCATGCTTATACTGCCTACTTTTGGGAGTGGCTCTACTTCAGGGTCTCAGTTTTCAGGAAGAACTTTCCAAGCCCAGGCATCCTGGATTTAGCTCCAACCCTTTTGTAAAAATGATGATCTGGATCCACCCAAAAATGCAAGATGTTTTGCTATTTATGTGATCTGGACCGTTATGAGGAGAGCAAAAGCTATTTTTATATTCCCGAGAAGCTTACTGCATTGGACACTGTTTAATGGGGGGGAAATAGTCTGGATTCCTTGCAGTTACAACGGTGGCACACAAAAGAGGCGGGGTCCTTGAGTGATCCCTGCATTGGATCAAAGCACCCTGGTTTTTAATGAGCCCCTTACCCCTTGATTTTAATCTAGCTCCATGCTTTTCTATACATCAAGGCTGGTTTTTTTTTTAATTGCCGAGAATGCTTCCTTGGTTTTCTAGAAAGTGGTTGCATACCAAGAGTATCTATGCCAGTTGGGTATAATTTCCTGATAGGTTTTGAGTCCCCAACATGTTCAATTTTAGAAATCTAGTACCATGAAAAATCTGGGATAAATAAAGAGAATTTTACTTTAGATTCCTGAAATAGGAACTTTCTGATCTGTGTTGTCAAGCATGATTCCTTTGACATCTAGTATTTTACATTTTAGATCAAGTAACATGTTGCATGGTGCTTACCAATAGATCAAGCTGATACCCCGCCCATCTCTCACACATACAGTTGATCTAGCAAGACCTGGGAAGCTGGCCTTTTTGGTCACTGTTCCTGCCCTGTGGAGAAGCAGTCCTACCCTCACCCCCCAAATCTGTATGGTCCTGAGCTGTCTGACCTTTAAAAAGGCTTTGATGACCTAGCAGTTCATGAGGCACTGGGCCAGGATATTGTGTGAGCCGGTAATGTTAATGTTTATGTGAATTTTGATCTATAGAGTCTCTTGATTTTTTTTTGGGGGGGGGGGGGAATGTTCTGGATTTTAAAAACAATATTTGCCATTTTTAATGCTGTTAGTTACCTTTAAACATTTGTGATTGGGCAGCCATAGTGATTGAATAAAATAAAAATATCTGGATTTCAGTTTTTTTTTAACTTATATTGTATATTCTGGCTTCTATGAGAGAGCAAAATTTGTTTCCAAGCGAAGAAGCCACCAGATACTTTTTTTTAGCAGCCCAGAAGGAGAGAAGGAATGAAAGAGATACTAGTGGTGCTTGAGGGCAACAGAAACCCTGCTCTTACATGTGCATCCTAGTCTCTTCTTTGAACAGGTTTTAGAGAACCTTCCTTTGAATTCATAGGTGTGACAATGGGAGATGTTTCTGCAGTGAAAAGCTGCTCATAGGGGTTAGAGAACTGGATGCTGAAGGAGACAGTGGCATATCACGGCTGTATCCATGGGTGTGCGTCAGATCAACTTGCTTTGCAGTTTGGTTTCTCAGCTCTGCTCCTGAAAGGTCCAACTCTACAAGTTAGAATGCTTCCCAACAGAGAGTTTTTTTTAATTGCTTCTCTTGATATTTGCTGTTTTTGATTTATTTATTTATTTGAATCCCACCTTTATTATTTTTATAAATAACTCAAGGCATATTTTTATATGTTTTTATATGTTATATATTTATATGTTTATATATTTATATATATATTTATATATATATATATATATATTATATATATATATAAATATATATTTATATGTTTTTATATGTTTTTATATGTTATATATTTTTATAAATAACTCAAGACATCCAACATACCTCCCTCCTATTTTCCCCACAACAACCCTGTGTTGTGAATTGGGCTTAAGGGACAGTGATTGGTTAAGGTCACCCAGTCGGCTTTCATTGCTAAGATGGGATTTGAACCCATGGTCTTCTGCTCTCTAGCCTGGTGCCTTAACCACTAGACCAAACTGATTTACAGCCTTAATCCCACCTTTATTAATTTTATAGAACCTTAAGGTGGTGAATGTATGTAATGCTCCTTTCTCCTTCTGTTTTTCCCATAATCCTGTGAGGTGGGTTGAGCTGAGAGAGTTTTGCTTTTTCCTCTTAAATGCTTTATTTTCTGGTTGAAAAGAATAAAAAGGGGGGAAATGATGGCAAAATATGGAAGGATTATAAATCCAAGGCATAACTTCTGCTCTGAAGTTATGGTTTGATTTGTGCAATCTAGGTGGCAAAATTAAAATGTAATTTGTAGTTCAGTATGTTATGGAGACCCAGCCATTGTGTTGGCATGTTGTGTGAACAGCCTGGCAGAATATGGCAAGATGATTAAAGCTGTTTAGGGTTATTTACACAACATGCTTAAGCTGGGTATTGAAGTCTCCCATTTTCTACATTTGAACAAACCACTGAGCCACAAAACCAAACCAAGTTCCAAAGTGAGTGAGTTTAACATTTTTAATCGATGGTGTTGCTGGGTGTTTATCTGTTTATCTGATCTGGTTCAAGTGTGACTTTGCATGCAAATATGTGCCACAAACAAAGAAAGAGTTTGAGCACTAGAACATAACTCAGGTTGCTGCAAATCAAATCATTGGATGGACCAATTGAACAGAGCATCTCATGGATTGGCTTTGATGGAGTGGTCCCATCACGAGAAAAACATGATGGGACAAGGCTTTCA